GTGGGTAAGGATAAGCAGTCAGTTGGCGGATGAAATGAGGGAGTCACACCCGTGATGGACGGGGCGTGCTATAGGTGGGGGGGGGGGGCGGCCTGCTCGCTACAGAACTTTCAAAAATTCGTAGTTTCGGTTCTAGAAGATCCCGGAGAGCGGAAATTGGGGAAACGATAAGCAGTCAGTTGGCAGATGAAATGAGAGAGGCACACCCGTGATGGGCAAGGCGTGCTATAGTGGGCGGTGCTCGTAGCAGAACTTTCAAAAATTCGTAATTCGGTTTCCAGAAGATCCGGAGAGCGGAATTGTGGAAACGATAGGCAAACAGTTGGCGGACGGAATGAAATGAAGCACACCCACGGATGGGCAGGGGCGTGGCCGAAGTGAACGGGCCGGCGGATAAAAACCGCCTCAAAATACATCCGAAAAAACTCCAGGAAATGGGGAGTAAGTGAAAATGAGCAATGGTTGGGCAGATGATGTAGTAAGGGATAACCGTAGGAGTATACCAAGTGGTTGGTGCCGTTTATTCTGTGGTTCCTCATCACTGACTGGAGCACTGTATAGAAAAATTTTGTTGGACTGTCTGCTAGGGGGGGGGGTATATACTAGCTAGTGTGAAACGGCAAGTGCAGTATTCTCAAAACAATTTTTTCGCGATCATTCGACCGGCAAAGCACCGAGACCCACTTCACACCCGGAAGGAGAGCCGGCGAAGCGGCGATCGAGTTTCTGCCGCGGGCCGATCCGACTGGTGGATACATATCTGCGGAATGACGGAGGGAGGAGGTAAATGATCAGTAACGTCAGACAAAGACCACGAACGGATGTCTTGAGGAGGAATGCCTGCGCTGGTCCACCGGTTTCACGAGCGCTTATAACGAGCGCAGGACGACGACTGGTTTCAAATGACGACAATGATATTACTTTAGGCGCGGTTTCCGTGATTCATGCTTTTCGTTGTGGGACCGACAACAGTGCAACCGCGATTTCCTAGCGGCGCGCCGTTAACCTCTAAGGACAGTCGCATGCAAGTCACGAACACTCCCTAATCTCTGGCGGAAATTGCGTTCCATTAGAATCAGTCCGATACTGACTTGAAATCTTTGAACGAATTACGAAACAGCACATTCTGCTCTACTTCTGAACACACATTCCATTACGGTCCTGTCCGCACGGATTCGCTCATGGCAGGTCCACCAAGATGCATATGCTAGAAGCTTGATGACTGGACAGCTCCATCAACAAAAATAATGTTGTTGATGGTAGTATATTTCGATTTCACTAGGACGTCTGACAAATTATCTCATGTGAGCCTCAAAGCTAAAGTGGGTGGAAATCAAAAGACTGAAAAGGTTTAGAAGTTTTTTTTTGTTTGATCGGACTTCCAAAGCCAGAGCGAACAACAATTACTCCTCAAAATAGGCCTGTGCTGTTTTATGCTTTTCAGTACATATAGTAGCGCTCAAAAGTATTCGCGCTGAACGCTTTTTTGCCATAACTTTGTTTTCTCAACTAACCAGTTTCTCCCGAATTTCACATTATATCAATCACAGTTACAATGAACAGCACTATTTGGCTCTGAGTATGTAGCCAGCGATCGTAATTTTTTTTTGCGGAAATGACCAACTTCAGTGTCTACAAGGCTATCACAGTATCCACATTTTTCGAGTTTTGAGGAGTTCTAAGACATTACTTTTGGGTTTACAAAGCAATGCACTTCGCAGTGATTTCGTAAGGAAACTGAAACCTCGGACACCGTAAATAAAGTTGCAGTGAATATGGAAAACGTCAGCATGAGAGATGTGCATTTGCCTTAGTATCCTGAGAGCTGCTGAACGCACATTGCTATGTATTCAGAAATTCAGGACCGTAGGCATTGTTTGGAAGATCGCTGCTGACGTCTATTCGTGAAGATAAACGCACCACCTCCCAAGTTGGTTTCAGGGTCCACTTACGTCCACTCAACAGCCAAGTTCAATAGTTATTGAGACAATGCTGGCGAATGGACTGTCAGAATAACATTGAACTTTGTAGGCCTTGCTCAAGGAACCATTGAAGTGAGCTTCGTTGTAGCTGAGCGGCTCCAGGAACGCCAAAAAAGGAGCGAAAGGTGCGTCTATGTACCCCCATATGAGGGACGTTAAGCGCTATACTGGGCGCCAAATTGCCGTCGACGTCGAAAATAAGTGTCAAAATCGCAATCAGGACATCGATTACCCTCATGGACTAACTTAAGGCAAAAAAAATTTTTTGGGTTTTGGTGGACCATTTGTGGACGCGGAGTATCCTATCTTCGTAAAGACCATGATGGAACGGCGACGCAGCAGGCCGACGGGGAGGACAGCAAACCTGATGGAATGCTCCCTTTCCTTCCTCGTTGCATGAATTTCGTCTCGGCATTGTTACTTTTATCTTTGGATATTATAAAAATAGGGAGTCCCTATAGCGAGGCACTGTAGACTTCTATAGAAAGACTGTCGAGCACAACTCAAACGGCACACACCAAAAAGTCGAAAAAAATTTTTTTGGATGAAAGATTGTTTACAGGGGTAATCGATGGCCCCGATTATTGATTTTCAAACTTATTTTCGGCGCCGACGTAATTTGGCGGCTGGGTAGCGCTACACATCCCTTACTTGTGTGTAGCAAAGGCATTCATTGGGAGAAACCATGTCACTCCATATTAGCGATAAATGGCACATAACCATAAGTGAGTTCCATATTTGGTGATTCGGGCATGGTCTGACCTATAAAGATCAACCTTCCAACTACGGTCTTGCTCAATTGTAATGTAAAAGCTGAAATAATTGAATTGCACCGATTCATGGGGTCTCCCCATTCAAAGTAATGCCCATAAAATGCAGTTATCGAATTCATACTCACCACAGACATATTTGAACGGCGAAAACAGCAAAACATAAAAAATGGTAAAACATCGCACGCCGAGGGAGAGTCGAACCATCACCCAAAGAACCCAACTGAGAATCCTTCACGCTATCCACTGGGCCATCCGATCGTTGTTGCTGAATATTCCTCCGATCGTTGAAGAAACCATTCCATGAAGCCGTTCACGCTTGATTACTTGTCACAAGTGAGACCCCATACCCCGACTACTTCTCGATTCCGATAGTACCTTTACAGGGTCCCTCCAGCCAGCAACTGGTCAGAGTTTCAAGCGGTTTACAGCTCGTAGAGGCTCAAAAACAATCAGTTTCCATAGGTTTCTTTTTCGCTCCTTTTTTTGGCATTTCAGGGGCCGCTCAGCCAAAACGAAGCCCACTTTTATGGTTCATGGGCAAGGCCCTACAAAGTACAATGAACCGTTTTGAAAAAGCGGGGCACGCCCTGAACGACCTCCCTTGTAAGGTTAAATGGAAAGTTACGATAAAAAGACCGCCTTTCAACTCAAAGAAACTAAGGTTTAAAGTGGAGGTAACTCTCCGCCACTTCCACTGAACATCGCATGGTGGGGATAGCGTCCAACTCACCGACGGGAGGGGGCTCAGAGTTCTCAAATCCAATGTTGTCAAGTATGAAAGCCGTTTCCCGACTATCTGGAAACTCCTGCGTTGACGACTTGGACGTTTTCCCACCGTTCCATATTGAGCTGAAGGCGGCTTTTTGATCGCACACTTACCGTTTAACCTTAGCTTATTCAGTGTTTTTCCGATAATCCGCTTACCAATATTTGTCTCATTAAAGCTACTGAACTTGTTAAGTGGAGGCAAGTGGCGTAATGAGCTTGTAAGCGGTGAGCGATGCGTTCCGTGGCTGCATCAACTATAAGGTAAACGTCTTTGAAACAATGGCCACCGTCTTTAAGTTGTGAACACGATAGCGCCAGGCGTGGAAACCTTGAGAATACTGGGGGATGTACAGTGCTCTGCCAATAATCAACACAAACATAACAAAAGTTTGACTGCAATCAACCACTCCTCATGGCTCGAAAACCGAAAATGGAATCATGATTGTTAAGTCGTGGCGTATCATATTGTTTATTATATTACACCACGTATTTTACACAACATGCTAGTTTTACAGGGTGATGAAAAGTCACATGCGCGCGGTACTGAATTCTGTTTAAAACTTCATTCAAAGCAATGCGCACACTCACTGAGGCCTAAATATTCATATTGATAACAGCGCTAGCCTGATTTTATCTCCTGACAGGATCGGACTCTGATCCATGAACTTGAAACAGCGATCAACAGCTTGGAATTAGATAGTTTGCGCTTTGATGGAAGGGAGTGATGAGGCAGCGACTAAAGAGTCAAAAGTCAAACTTTCCATGACTTTGTGAAACGGACAATCTTTGAAAACATGGGTGATTAAGACGCTCACTAACTGCACCGCACTTCTGACTACATGAAGGAACTAGTTGAGGCCTGCTTCAAACTGATGACAACTTCGAAAATTTTCCATAGTTGTGAAATGCTCTGGCTCACACCTTAGTGAAACCAATTTTTTCGGAAGCGCATGAGCAAAAATCCAGGCTCTGGCGTTTCGACGGTACATGTGTTATTTCGCTGTATATTGATGGAATGACTCGACTCATGAACAATAAGTACTAGATCTTGTCGGCATATTCCACGAACAGCTGAAACGTACAAGCCCTTGTGGGAAGTGAACAGGGCTGATAAGCAGCGGTTGTTTCTAATCGAACGTGTGCGGAAAGAGCGCTTGAAGCTCATCGTAAAAATTTGGCCACGCCTCCTTCATCCGAATTCGTACCTCGACCTACAGCCGCCTTGCTCTTAATTCTATATAAGACAAAAACAGATGAGTCTAATGATGAGAGCACGTGGTAGGCGAAAAAAACGACGTCAGTATGTATCAAGATGAGGAAACTCATCCCAATTGAGCCTATTTTCATTACTCTAGTGCAACACGTGAGGTGTGGAAGCCTCTTCAATGGTTCTGGTGAATTCCTTAGTTCGATTCTCACCAAAATAGAGACTACTCAGCATCTCTGCTCACATGTTCAACGGTCACCCTTTGCTAAGCTATCTTGAAGGCATCTCCAGAGTGAAATGTATATCGTAAATGCTCGTCACGATGATCAACTTACCAAGCGACCAAAGATCGGATCTTGAGTCATATGTCGCTTCAAGGTTTTCGTCGCAAGCAATCACTTCAGGAGCCATCCTTCAAAGAGCATAATAAGTCCGAAAGTTTGGAACACTAAAGCTAAAGATTTTATGGCCAAATGCAGCAAGTTTTTCTCCTCTGCAGTAGAGCAAGAGCGATGGGCTCTTACATCTTTCTGAAGCCGGCATATTTAAGTTACCAGGAAAGGTCAACAGGTCAGCTCCGCCATTTGCAATGAGGCGCACACCATTGTACTCGACTTGAGACAGGGAACTCAATACTATCTTCAAAATATGCGGAATGATTCCCTGAGCGGAGTTATGAGGGTTTTTCTTGACTTTTTTTCAGTTAGCGCTGCCGTTGAAGCGTTGGCACCTGTAGCGCGACATACAACGCTATTAGCGCGAAGCAGGTGTCATGTTCGTGTTTGAGGGATGAAATAAGACGGCACTCTAGCGAAACCTGAGGTTGTGACTCAACTTCGAAAAAATGGAGTGTTAGCCGTGGGTGACTGGTAGCCGACAGCGATACTATGACTAGCCTATTGGTGATGACTGGTCTTCGAGCTAAAATAACTTCAATCATGCCTTTTCGCAAAGGATAACACCTGGCTCATTTATTACCACCATCTGCATCATTTTTCTAATCACCGGGAGGAAATTCCGACCCAAGGCCATTCACTGGTAGGTGATCTTCAGTCTGCTGCTACTTACCCATTGAATAGCCCACATTTCCAAAGTTAGATTGGAATATCAGATTTGGCTAGAAACTTGTCCCCAGGAGAAAATTGAAGACGCTTCCGTGTTTTCTCGCGATAGATGTAAACATTCCGTTCAAAGAACCGTTCCGCGAACTTTGAAGGTAGATTTGACTTCACCGTCTCAAGATGCGGGCAGCAGTGTGCACCTCGCTCGTCTGAAACGGCCGGGCTGACCTATTGAGCTTTCCTGGTAGCTACGTATTTGTGAAATTTGACCAACATAGCCACAAAAGAAAAATTCGAGAAAGTTAAAGGAAACCTATGTGGTCAAAATCAGCAGTGGATCATCTAAGGGGCGCCACATAAGGAAAAAGCGCTACTTACAGTCACCCTGAGTTGCATGGAATGCTGCTCTTGAAACATAATGTCGAAGACTCCGTACAGAAGTTCAAGCAAGCAAGAATGAAAAAGTTGTGGCCGAAGTTTAGTTCTGCACAAGAAAATTGCGCGGGTAAAGTCAAGCGTCGAAGGTCTGATAACCGAGGATGGACCACTGCGAAGCTTGTCCGCAAGAGTGACATTCCTGCTGCAAGTCCTGTCACGCCTAAAAAATTGTGGGTGATCAACAGGGAATGCGTTTGGGTGCCTTATTTTGAAGCGAAAACACGAGCAAAACCGATTAGATGCCTCTCCAACAATGATGTTCTTCGCCTAAGACGTCCGTCACGACTGTGAAAACGGACTCCGGCTCAAATTAAAACATGAATGACTCTGTACTCTCAGCCCAAACTGACAAGGTGTCGTTATCGATGTGTCGTGGTCCCCCCGCCCAAAACTGCATGGGGTCAGAGTACGGGGCCGTGGGAAATTCGTAATTTCTTGCTACGCCGCCAGTTTCACAAACTCACGTTTTTACTAACACCGTCCGCGCGGCGCGTTCGTGTGCAGCTCTCTTGGCTTTTTGCCAAGTCCTATGATTGCGCTTTGCAGTACAAGTAAAACGCAATTCCTTTATGCGGACAACCATTTAGGTGCTGCAAAAGAAGGAGCGAAGATGATGAAGAGGGCCAGAACTCAAGAGCAACTGTGCTGTTCCTGCAACATTCCTCAGAGGCCGCGCATTCCCACAGAACATGAAAATAAAATAGGACAGCATGACAATAAAACATGACAATACAAGCAAAACGCAGTTTCCTAACATTTGAGGTATTGAAAGTCCCAATAGAGGGTGACGAAGATGATAAAGGCTAGAAATGAAGTACAGCGAATGCAGATGTAAATCAGACCGAGCACTTTCCAAACAAAATCGGGCATTTATAAAACCTAATTGGGCACTTTCCAAAGGAATCGTAATTTTTTGCAACCGGATCCGGCAACTTCAAACAAAATTGGATACGAATAAAATCGAATCGGACACCTTTGAACAGAATCGGACACTTTTCGGACTAAATCGGGCCTTCAAGGGAATCCAGCTTTTTTTACCGGATCTGGTAACTACAAACAAAATCGGACTCAAGTAAAACCAATCATACACCTTCTGAACCAGACCGGACACTTTTCAAAGGACTGATGAACTTTTTCAAAGGAATCGTGTTTTTTGAAAACCAGAACCTTCAAACGAAACTGGGCATTTATAAAACCGAGTCGGACATCTCCCGAACCGAATCGGACACTTTTCAAACGAAAATGGGTTTTTTCAATAAAATCGTACACTTTCCAATCAAAATCGGACACTTTTCAAACCAAACCGGGCACTTTCAGGATGGAATCGTTTTTTGTTTTGCAACCAGACAGCTTACTTTCAAACAAACCGTTGATCGATCGCTTCATCGACTGCGACACGCATTTTTCTTCTTCTTCTCGTAGTCGTAGCGGCTCACTAAAAGCGGTGTGCCTACAAATGATTTGAGGGGGCAGCCGAGATGTTCAAATGTAGGCTCTCTCCGACGAATCTGCTACTAAATCACCGTCCGCGAAGGGTAAAATAAAAGGAAGGCTTGGCTAGCCTGGATGGGAGCCGATTCGGGCTCTTTTCTCCGGAGCGCGCGTGTGGTAAGCGTGCCACTTGCCAATACACCGCCTCTGCAGGGGAGGAGAGGGTGGATTTCATATGCTAATCAATCATTTGGGAAGCCCACCGGGAAAGGGGACTAAGCCCTCCTCTCAATGGGCTTCCTTGAACGATACTCCTACTATAATACTGCGGTAGTGTGGTTCCAAACAGTAATGATGTAATTTGCTCGGTGCTAAAGATCTTCAAAGAGATAATTAATGAGAGTAGCTTGATGAGATCAAAGAGCTCATTGAAGCGTTTTCTTTCTAATCTGCAATTTTGGTCAAGTGTCGCAAAACTTTCTTTCGACCCAGAGTTTTCTGCGCATCGCGTGCCACATCACAAAGCTCTAAATTATGGATAAAAGGGGGCGTGCCAACTGAGCGTACATCAAATGCGCCCACAAACGCACACAATGAGGTATGCCGTGATCTCTATGCGTCCGGTTGAATGATTTAAGTTTGGGAAAGCTGTCTTTATTGTATAGCCTTTGGCGATACCTGGCTGATGTGCGTCTCACTACTGATTCTGAAGGGATACTGATACGGCACACAAGCTCACACAAAAAAAAGAGAAGCTCTGGGAGAAGCGTTGAAGCAAGAGTGTCTCAAAATTCGTCCGTCACCTTCAGTCCAGGCCGTGCTAACAGTGTTGCATATTCACGCGATGGGAAAGTGCGCGTTGGCGCAACCGAAGCTCTTAAACTCAAGCGCAGCTCCAGAGCACTGCATATCCATCTTACCCTTTAAACCTAAAGCTGGCAGGTTGAAAATCAGCGTTACAATATAATGGCTGATGGTTTCGATTAACCACTCATGGTTTCGATCTGACGAGGTTTTACTATAGCGCACATCGATGGCTACCCGACCTGTCAGATCCTTTCGCCAGAATTGTAACTTGGAATAGTCATCAAAAGCGCAAAATCCCTGCACGACTTCACAACAACTGGCAAGGAAAGATGAAGAAATTACGAACCAATATGGAGTCCCAATGAACGTATTTCTTCTTCCAACCGTTTTGTCCAGTTGAGCAGAGACGCCAAAGTCCACAAGTTTCACTTCTGCACTATCCGTCAGAAGAACATTCTGTCCCTTTATGTCTCGATGAATAACCTTATTTTGATGAAGGTGATAGAGACCCTAAAATCAAGTGCTTGGGTATAGACAGTATAAGTGATGCAATATTATATATATATATATATATATATATATTATATTATATATATATATATATATATATATATATATATATATATATATATATAGTATATATATATATATATATATATATATATAATATATATATATATATATATATAGTATATATATATATATACTATATATATATATATTATATATTATATATATATATATATACAGGGTGGACCAAAAAGTTCTGGCAATCTCGTGTTTGTGCGTTTTTGAATGACCATTATTGGTCTGTTTTCTCTCCGATGGGTTATTTGTATTCCGCAAGCCATTTCGAACTACCGTACGAGTCATCCTATCCACTCACTTTCGATTTCTCCTCGCACTGTCTCGAAAAAATCAAAAAGTTGCAGTTGTTGAAACCCATCTTCACTTGTTGCTTGAAGAATGTGCTCGCCACCGAACGACGAAAATTTTTCAATCATAACTGACCGGAATTGTTGTCTGCTCCTCAGAAAAGGTCTGACAGAAGGCAACGGTCTGTGAAATCCGTCGGACGCAGACTCCTTTCCTGCCTCAGTCACCGGTCTGAAAGCGGGATCTGTGCCACCGGGAGAACTCTCATTTCTTCATCGAGCGCAATCCGTAAAGATTAATGCTGTCTACTCCCAACAACGCGTTCTCCGCCGATGTACTGAAGCCATGGTGTCGTAGCACTTCGGCCCGGATGGACACGTGCTTCAAGCACGACTGGGAGCCAGCTCATCCTTGCAAACCCACAAACTGCCGCTTGTGAAGAGCTGCTTCCCGATTTTGGGGGCAAGGACGTTTGCCTCCAACTAGCATGGTCCGAACCCCATGGATTATTACCATCTGGGTCGAAAAATCCTCAGGAATTCGATGCGCACGGTTTACCACCTGAAAGTGGCGTTGCTGCGTGTTTTGTGACCAAACTACAGCAGAAGAAAGCGCGACCATTGTCGGACACTTTGGAAAACGACTACGTAAATGTGTTAAGGGCTGAAGGAGGCATTTTTTGAACACTTGTTGGAACTTGTTGTAGTATTATAATTAGTACTGATTAGATAAGACTCCCGGACTTTCAGTTGGCTGATTTCCTTTTCGAACGGTATTTTTTATGTCTACCGAAGTTTC